AGTTTTAAAGCTGAAGAAAAAGAAGCAAACCTTAGCTTAGAACCTATTGCTAAGTCTCCTGCACATTTCTATTTTGGGCAGTTTACACGTTAACCTGGATCTCGGGCATCTTGCAGACTTATCTGTCCAGGATCGACTTTATGAAAGCGGCAGGAAATTAACATTTATTGAGAGCCTGTTATGTGCTAGATCCTGGGAAACGTGCATCTTTTAGGTGTTGAGTTCTGCTTTCCTCATTATAAAATTCATCTATTATATATTTTTTAAAATCACCTATTTTAAATGAACAGTTCAACGAGTTTCAGTGTTCATGCACTTGTGCATCCTTCAACACAATCTGTTTAAGACCCCTCCTATTACTCTAAGAAGTTCCCTCACACCCTCTGCAAGGAATCCCTGCACCCTAACTCCAGCCCCAGCCAACCTCTGATCTGTTTCATCTCTAGTTTTGCCTTTACTGGGCATTTCATATAAATGGTGTCATACAATCTGAAGTCTTTTGTGTCTGGCTTTTGTACACTTAACATGGTATTTTCAAGAACTATCCACATTGTTGCGTGTGTCCATCACTCATTTCTTTTTATTGATAATCAGTATAATTCTACTGTGTGGATATACGTATGTGTCACATTTTATCAGTCAGCTTTATGTGGGAGGAGACTTGCTGGATCGGGTGATAAGTGTATGTTTAGCTTTTCAACAAATGCTCCAAATGCTCCCAAGTGGATGTGCCATTTTATACTCCAAACAGCCCTGGGTGACATTATCTTTGTCATTTTAAATCAGTTATCTTCTTACTACTGAGTTGTAAAGGTTCTTTATATTTTTTAGTTAAAGTCCTTTGTTCCATAATTACTTTGCAAATATTTGCTTCCCATCTGTTGCTTGCTTTTTCATTCTCTTAATGGTGTCTTCTGAAGAACAAAAATTTAATTTTGATGACATCTAATTTATTTTTTTCTTTTGCTGTCCAGAACTTTTGTATTGTATCTAAGAAAATGTTCCCTAACCAAAGGGAAATTTTCTACTCTTTTTCTATAAGTTTTATACTTTTAGCCCCTTCGTTGAGGTTCACAATACATTTTGATTTAATTTTTGTGTTGGAAGTGATGTTAAGGGTCAATGCTCATTATTTTGCATATGGAAGTCCAACTGTTCCAGCACTTTTTGTTGAAAAACTATCTCTTCTTTATTGCCTTAGCGCTGGGATGCAAATCAATTGACCACATATCTGAGGATTTATTTCTTCTGCACCACTGATCCAGACATCTATCCTTATGCCAATACCACATGCTCTTGGTTACTGTAGCTTTATAGTAAGTTTTGGCATTAAGAAGAATGAGTCCTCCAATTTTGTTCTTCCTCCACACTGTTTAGGCTATTCTAGGTCCTTTGCATTTCCATATACATTTTATTCTCAGTTTATCAATTTCTACCAAAGGACAAAGCCTACTGAGATTTTGACAGAGAGTACACTGAATATATAGATCAATTTGGGAAGAATTACCAATATTGAATCTAGTCCATGAATATGGTATATACTGCATTAAGTTAGTTCTTTTATTTCTCTCACTGATATTTTGTAGTTTTCATTGTACAGCTTTCACAGGTCTTGTGTTAAAATTTATTAAGAATTTTATTCTTTTTGATGTATTAGCAATGAAATTGACCTGTTTAAAATTTCATTTTCAGATTTTCCATCATCAGCATATAGAAATATCATTGATTTTTATTGATTGACCTTATATCTTGCAACTTTGCTAAACTCATTAATATTCTAGCAACTTTTAAGTGGATTACTTAGGATTTTCTACCTACAAAGATCACATTGTCTGTGAATAAAAACATTTTATTTTTTTTTCCAATTCTTATGCCTTTAATTTCTTGTTCTTGTCTTATGGTCCTTGACTTTTGTACCTAATTATTAGCCAACGTCTCTTCAGTACACTGTATGCTCCTACACCCATTTCATGAATGCTGAAATCAGATTTTTGTATATCCTTCACCCTAACAAATGACTATTTTTAATAGTGCATAAATGCCTTCCAGTCAAAAATTCTATTTCAGCAGCACTGCTATCTTTGTTTATAAAATAGTGTTTGGATAATTATTTAAAACATGTGAACTGCATTTTGCACTTATCATTTAGAAAAGAAGGAACAGAAATGGGAAAAAGATAGTGCTGCCATCAGTAATAAGCAGGAGTCTCATAAACGTAATGGCAATTGAGACAAAGATGAAAATCATTAGCCGTGTGAAAGCGGCAATTCTGTGGCATCAATTAGGTGTTCGGCGGACTTAATAAGCTGGTCAACCACAAGAAGAATAAAACTAAAGAACATAACTTGGCAACTGAACATATAACATCAAAGTCGTGTCTGAAATGCAAGGTCTAATCAGGGATTTTATCATACACGTTAGGTCTTCAGGAACGTAACTGCCTTTGTGACACGTACAACCACTGTTCTACTTGAACACAAATCAGTTCACAGATACACTGAAGAACACAGTGGATCTCAAAATGTGGGAAATACCAGGACTTCCTTTAATCTTACAAAACCTGCCGAGGAGGGTGTCACGATTCCCACTGAGAAATCACAAACCAGACACAGAAATGAAGTCACTTGCTGAAGTTATAGTCAATAGTGGAGACAAGACTCAAACCCAGGTCTGTTTGGCTCCAAACGCTCTAAACAAGGCCTGTTTTCCTGAGCAACACAGTTCCCTGGTGCAGATGCCCGAGTCCGGCCTTGCTCGCCTGAGCAGGAAGCCTCTGGTTGCACATCTGCATGGCTTCTAACCCCAGGATCCCCCAGTGACTCACAGGCTACCCTGCAACAACTAGGGAAGAATGATCATCCTGACTTGCTCTAGCCTAAAACTACCAGCCTGAAGTTTGAACACAATCTATACTAATAAAAGGGTAATATGCTAATTAGACCAGATAGACCAGATGTCTTCCGGACGTCCTTCCAGACAAAACCATGGTGGTGGTGGCAGAGGCAGAGGTGGTTAGGGGCAATCAGGCCGGCAAGGGGGAGCGGTTAGGGGCATCAGGCAGGCAGGCAGGCAGACAGGCAGAGGCAGTTAGGGGCGATCAGGCAGGCAGGCAGAGGGGTTAGGGGTGATCAGGCAGGCAGGCAGGCAGAGGGGTTGGGGCGATCAGGCAGGCAGGCAGGTGAGCAGTTAGGAGCCAGCGGTCCTGGATTGTGAGAGGGATGTCCGACTGCCAGTTTAGGCCCGATCCCGCAGTCGGACATCCCCCAAGGGGTCCCAGATTGGAGAGGGTGTAGGCCGGGCTGAGGGACAACCCCCCTCCCGTGCACGAATTTTGTGCACCGGGCCTCTAGTAAATAATAAATAAAAAGATGTGAGGTGGTTACATAAATAAGATACATGGACATACATTTGAGAGCTGGGTTTGAAATCAGTGAGTGATTTTCCGTTGAGTTTGGGGGCAGAGATGCCCAGGAAGTTGGACTAAGAAAGGATATTAAAGTTTTTAAGTGAGGTAATTCAGGCTTTCTCTGCTTTCATGTTTGGGCAGATGCATTAGAAAATGAATGCAGAAAAGTTACCATAAAAATCATTAAACTGTGGCTGGGCAATAAAGTTCAGCCTTCTCTCTCAACACCCCACCAGGAAAATTCTAACCCTTGGGTGCAGGTGACTCAGACCGAAGTCTTTACTGTAGTGTGGTTGTGCAAGGCCAGGAGTGAGGCTCAGGCTGTATTTCCACGGAGAGGACACGGAGCAGGAGAGAAGGAAGCAACAGCGCAAGTGCTTCTCCTGGTGCCCTAAGAACACACTCGCTAGAGGTTGTGGATTTCTTGGTTAATTAGAAAGCCTTTCAACAGGCTCTTTCCAGAAACAAATACAAATCACAGCGCCCCCTGCACCTGGCAACACATAAAGCCAGAAACAATCCTCTCCATCCCTGAGGTGAAAAAATAAGCCCCGTGAGAAGTGAGGAGGCTGTGCTGCATCACGGTACCCTCTGAGCAGCAGCTCTTTTGAAAGAGATCCCCCCTCCACACCTTTAATTTTACTTCCTGCGTGAACCTGGTCATCGATCCCACTCCCCAAATAACACACGCATCTTACAGCCCGTCTAGTGTGTACACGTGAAGTGGGATGCCCTGGGAAAAGCTTCGTAGTTAGCACAATATTAGAAACAGCCTACACAACCGAGGGACACGGGCGAGGAGGGGCCTGCAACTATGGGTTCACAGCCTTCCGCCTGTTTGTAAATAAAGTTTTATTAGAACATGCCCATGCCCATTCCTAGAGGTCTTCTTCTATGGTGGCTTTCTTGTTACAAGGGCAGAGTTCCACAGAGATGGTCTGGCCCACAAAGTCTACAATAACTACTATCTGGCCCTTTACAGGAAAAGTTGGTCAGTCTTTGAGATAATATGTTCAAAATAATATGGAAAAATACCCATGTTAAAATGTTAAGTAAAAAAAAGGGTAAATCAGCGGTTTTCAACCAGTGTGCTGCAATAATTCTTAAAACATGCAATACCTGACTACTCAGTCAGGGCACTGACCTCTTTTCCCTTAGATTGTCAAATAAAAAAATGACAGCAGCCAACACAATAGCCACCTGGTGTGAATGAATCAAAATTATACCTTTTTTTGTCAGATCGGCAAAAAACGTATTTTTTTGGTGTTCTGCAGAATTTTAGTAATTAGTTTATGGGTGCCACGAGATGAAAAAGGTTGAAAATAGCTGATGAAAATCAAAGGAAAGTGGGCCTAAGAGAGACCAAAGTGTTAAGCAGTTGGGTTTGGGTGGTAGCCTTACGGGTGATTTTTCTTACTCCATCTATAATGACCTTACACGTCTGCTATGATAGGAAAAACCGAACCTCACTGCAAACACGATTTCAGCTCGCGTCTGCCTCGCACGCAGCGGGCGTGACGACTTTCAGCAGCCCCGCCCGGCTCGGCCGCGCACGGGTGTGCTGAGGGTGGGAGGCCGAAGTCCCGGCAAGTACCTTATGCTCGTCCCGAAGGTGGCCGTCCAGTTCCTCCGTGTGCTTGGCCTCGTAGTAGCAGAGCTGGCACTTGTACGGTTTCAGTTCATTGTGCTTTTCTATGTGTTGCTGGAGGCTCTCGTCACTGGAGCAGGTGAAGGTGCACTTGTCGCAGCGGAAGACCACTCCCTGCAGGTACTTGGACAGCTTGGACCGGCACACCTCGATGGGGACCACGCGCTCTTCTGTGGGGACAGGGTGGAGGGGAAGATGGGGATCGTTACTGACGGCAAGCAGACCTTCTTCCTTCGGAACATGAGCGGGAACTCACCCCTTCAATTAGCTACTTCTTATGACTTTCAGCCCGTGAACCACACGCACAGACTCCCCCCTCCCCTCCATCTTCCGAACTAACGTGTTCCTCGACACAAATCGGTGTTTCTGAGACCAAAAGCTCTCTGTGTATTACTATCCAGAATGATCTACAAGCAGGGGTGGGCAGGCTGGATGGTGCTTGGTAGGTTCGGAATGGAGGTGAGGGAAGGAGGGGCGAGGGATGGGAAGTGGCGGCCGTTTCTACCAACATTACTGACGATCGACAGCGACCGATTCCTACTTCTCCCATGTGATGTGGGTGGACTTGCTGATGTCTTTAAGGGGGCAGGACACCGACATTCCCCAAGCACCTCTGTGCCCCCACTGTGCGCCTTCCTAGCAACTCAACCAGGCTCAAGTTACTCCCATTTCTCAAAAATGAGTAAGGTGAAGGACAGAGCTCTCAGGGAACTTCAAAACCCACAGACACTGACATTGGCCACGCTGCCGACCTGTGAACCCATGATGGCATCGTCTCCAATTCCATTCCTGTTCCCCTTCCTACATGTTCTCCAGGGGGCAGTTCTCCTTTCCCAGACACCGAGGGAATGTCTAACATCAAATCTGAAAACAAGCCCGTGCACTTTCATTCACTGAAACTCCAACTCCCGCTGTGAAGCGCTCGCAAAATGGAAAGGCTGCGGGCAACCTGCAGGCGGAGGGGGTGGCGGCGTGGGAGACATGGAGGATTTGTGCCTTTTCAATCCCTAATCTGACTGTCATGGGGGTGGGTGGGGGATAAAATAAAAGAAGAGGATTTGGGTGCTTTCCCCGGGAACATCCAAACGCTGCAGGGCTGGGAACGCGTGCGTGCCTGTTTACGTTGCACTCCCTCGCCCTCGTGTTTAACTGCTCAAATTAAATTTCACACCAGTCTGCCCAGAGCATCGGCACACGCGCCAGAAACCCATGCCTGGGATAAAATTAAAATCTGTGCTATTTATGCAAGGATCAAATATAGCGCGCGTTTCACGCTGTCTGGATTTCAGAAGGCTGTCTGTAGGTTTACAAATGGACGCACACAACATATACTTACATTATTTAGAAACAGCGACGTATTATTAAGTCAAGAAAGCGTGATTTATCCTCAGAGCCACTGAGCAGCGAGGTTCCCCGAGCGAGCGTCAGTATCTGGTGCGCCGGCGGGAGGCACGGGGGAGCCCTCCCTTTGCTGTTGGGGTGTGTTGGGTGCCCGGGGAGAGTCCCCCCACCCTGTGCTGTGCTTGAGTCTCAACCGTCACATCCTCACTGCAGGGCAAGCACTGCCTTGGGAGCCGTGAGTGCAGCGACTAATTGGCCAGCAAAGGAGCTGGGCAGGGGGAGCTGGGAGGGGGGCCTGCGACTCCCTGGAGCTCTATGCACGCATCGTTTTCCCGAAGCAAAGAGTCAGCCGCTCATTTAGAAATGTAAGTGTTTATAAACCGAAGGGCGGTAGACAGCTAAGAAACACACGATCACCATGCAATCCACACATTTTCCTAGAAGGGCAAATGTTTACCAGCCTTCCAACCATTCAGCTCCACGGTTTGGTGTAAAGGGACGAGGAAACGCGTTGGCGTAAACCAGGAGCCTTACGAGAGCCCATCCGATGATGCGTGGCTCCTCTAACCCAGAGCTTCTCACGAGTAACAGGCCTGACATGTTGGGGCCGGTAATTCCTCGTCGTAGGGGCCGTCCCGTGCATCGCAGGGTGGTCATTGGCATGCCCGGCCCCGACTCACCAGACGCCAGCAGCACCCCCTCCTCCCCACGTGTGACAACCCAGAGCGCTCCCCAAGGAGGCAAGGTGGACCCTGGTTGAGAACCACTGCTCTGGGCACCAGGCCAAGCACTAACGCCGGCTGCTCTGGGTCCGACGTGAGTGGCCACGCACCGTGAGCAAGCTGGTGCCCACAGCAGGAGATGGGGTGCAGCTGAACCAGGGGGACCAGCACCCGGAGGGCATGCTTCCACTCGGGGTCACAGGCAGTGCTGACCCGAGCTTTTCTGGCACCTTCCTCGAGACTGTATCCCCCTGGCTCTCTTTGCGTTTGTTCCTGACTTATATTCTGTCATTTCTTCCACGTCATCCTTGGGCTCTGGCCTGTGCCGTGGCCCTGGCCTGTCGGCCTCAGTGGACGGTTAAGTTTTCCACAGAACCATGTCCAACACCTTGAAGATGTCGCCCAGGCCCCATCCGGCCTCCACTTCTCCCCTGTAAAGCATCGGTCCTTTCCAGCTTGTTTTTATGGGTCTCCGTTTGAATCCCTCTACCACTCCGGTTCGTTTTCTTCGCAGCGTCTAGTCTCGCTCTATGTGCCTAAGCGGACTTTACACAGTCCTGAGCACCCGGAACAACACTGTGGAGTTTAAATAACGGTGATTTAGGCGAACGACCGCTACGATTTATGAAGTGCTCCCGCGTTCCGAGTGCGGTCAGGCACTGTACCCCACAGCGACTGCTCATTCTCCCAACACTCTGCGGAGTCCGTGTTATTATCTCCGTGTGTGGACGGGGAACCTGAGAACCCACCTGTCCGCTACCCCCTCCAAGTGCCTCCCCTGGTTCAGTCCAAGTTATGACCCGGGAGCCCAGGCCTCCTGACCTTGGCCAGGGCCCTCCTCCTTCAGCCCCAAGCACAGGGAACATCCCATCCGCATGCAGCCAACTTACAAGCCTCTCATTCCTAATCGTGTAAAAAGGCAAACGCCGTCGACGTCTAAGGCAGCCACTTCTACCTGAATTTCTTTCAAACATCCTCTGGATTTGCTAGAAGGTAAGTTCCCTGCTTACTTATCCTGGGAAAGGTAGGGCTTCCCACTCCCAAACTGTGCCGTGACCAATCACGTCCGTCCAAGGCTCTTCGTTATATGGATTTTCACTAGCACTACTTTTAGAAAACTGTTAGCTTTTTCTTTCGAAAAAACATAGCTAACATGACCAAGATTAAAAAACACAAACAGGAGAGATTTTGAAAGGCGGGCAACGAGCGACGGCGTTTTCTGAATGAGGTTATTCATTACTGAGGCGAGTGGAGGACCTAGTTAGAGGCGGGGCCGTTTCTAGGTGTGGACTGAGCCTGTCTTGGCTGCAGAAGCTCGGTGCTCGGGGCTTTTTTTCTGTGGGGGCAGCGACAACTGTGGGCCTTTCTTGACTTCACACCTCTCCAAATTACCCTGGGTAAGAAATCAGGCCTGAATCACACTCATTGTGACTCAGCTTCCAGCGCTGGCTGCGAAAATATTATGACTTCAGCGGTCCAACTACAAGATAGATGGTGTCTCGCATCTCCTACTCACGTCTGGTGCTGCAGCTGGACAGGCCCCGAGAGGCCGACCCGAGAGACATGCACGTGGAGGCACGTGGGTGCCGGGGGCTGCAGCACCGGGAGGTGCTCTGTGGACAAGCCTGCGGAGCTGCAGCTACAAAGTGCGGTCACTTCTGCTCAAAACGGCGAAAACCACCTCCCTGCGGAGCAGCACCCCCGAGTAAAAACCCTTCCTGAAAGGAGACCGCACGCGCTTGGGTTTCCTCCCACACATGCCAAGCCCAAGGGGGGCAGGGAGAGGCTTGGAAGTCATCGGCGCAAACCATCACATGCAGCGCCCAGACCAAAGACCCACCCATCACTCCCTTGCAACCAAAAGCAACAAGGGTGAGTCCTAGAAAGCTGGTAGGAATATAACAAAAGTCTCTTTAAAAGATCACCCTCTGCACTGGCCAGCGTGGCTCAGTAGTTAGAGCACAGGTCTAGGTCCACAGACCAAAGGGTTTCCAGTTTGATTCCCGGTCAAGGGCATGTACCTGGGTGGCAGGTTTGCTCCCCACCCTGGTCAGGGTGTGTTCAGGAGGCAACCAATGCATGTGTCTCTCTCACATTGATGTTTCTCTCTCTCTCTCCCCCCTTCCCTCCCTCCCTTTCTCCTTCCCTAACAATCTCTCTCTAAGAAAGCAGTAGAAAAATATCAGGTGAGGATTACAACAACATCATCATCCCCTAACATAACCATCTCAAGACACATAAACATACGCACAATAACTTCTGGTGAGACGTTATTAAGTTTCAATGTGAGCCAGGTCACCACCCTCAAGCCAGAGAGAGCTGGAGACCACACCTCTAATTTGAACAGACAAACACATTTGATGGGGATGGAAGGGAACATGTAATTTCGCTGAATAAGATGAAAGATTGGCCATCTCACTGTACATTTTTTTTTCCTCAAGAAAAATGACACTGATCAGATAAATTAGGGGAGATCAGTTCTGGTCCAAAGAGACAGCCACCTACAAGTTTCAGTTAAATTCATTATCTGTTTAGGTACTGGGGTTACAGGCTGGGAAATAACTTTATGCTCACATGCCAACTGGAGAGCAGTGTCAGCAAATTACACAGCTCCATAATTATAATGCAAATATTTGGCAAAAAAACACAACACACCCGTGTTTCATCCCATAATTCAATCTGTCCACTGCAGGTGCCCAAGGTACATATAGGCAGAGCTACGCACGAGGCATCCTGCTTCCAATGACCACAAATTCAATGGACATAGACTCATGAAACTATCCCTTTGTTCATCGTCGCTCCTCCCATGAAAGTTCAAGTTCCCTCAGTGCACAGGCCTTGCCTGACTCGCCATGGCTGTATCCCAAGAGCTTAACACAAGGCTAGCATCCTGTGAGCGTTCAGTAAACGGCGCAAAGGGACCCACACAGGGAAGAAGGCCTGTGCAGATGGAGGCGGAGACTGGCATGATGCAGCCAGAGGCAGGGGATGCCAGGAGCCACCAGAAGCCAGAGCCAAGGAAGGGATCCTTTAGAGCAGCGGTCGCCAACCTTTCGGACCTCCTGGATCACCAGTGGTCCGCGGACCACCGGCTGGCGACCGCTGCTTTAGCCTGCAGGGAGAGCACAGCCCTGGGAAACCTCCATTTCAGACTTCCAGGCTCCAGAATGGTGAGAGAAACTTGTTGCTTTAAGTCGCCCCGGAAAGGAACAGACCTCACCTGAAGTCTGCACTACCTCCTGAAGTGTTACCATGGCTGTTTGAAAGCCACCCGCTCCACCTTTCGGACCCTGAACAGAAGCCCATCGGCCACTGTGAATCTCCGAAGACACCTGTCGCTCCCTGCCTTATCCTTACCCACGCACGCCTCACCTCCTCGAGGAAGGCAGGCGCTGGGTCTTACAGACCCCATCGTACCCAAAGAGCCCGGCACAGCGGGGCGTGTGACCAGCAAATAACGAACGCCTGCGGGATGCACGAGTGAGCAGTCCGCTCTCTCCTGCCACAGCCAACACAAACCAGGAGCATTTCTCATTCAGGTTTCCCGGGAGCAAAACAGATTCTCTCTTCCTTTCCTCCCTATTTAAACACCCATTTGTCTGGGCGAAAAGTTAAGGGAAGTTCGATTCTGGGAGCAGTCGCTCTGTCTCAGGACCAGTTCAGCAGTTGTTTTTCGTGCCTTTCATCGCAAGTGTTTTAATTCACGGAGGCCTCAGAAAGACATCTTAGTCTTAACACAGGCCCCAGAGACCACAGATGTTTACTCTTCCAGGGAGCCGGGGGGGGGGGGGGGGAGTGGTGCAGAGTGCACCACATCTTGTGCCGAGATCAGCCCCACTCGGCAAGGCAGACACCCGACCGTCTCTCGACTTGTCAAGACCAGCCTCCCACTGAGCTGCATTCTGAGTTGGGCTGGCCATTAGCATTTAATCTCTGGCATTTCATCTCGCTCTGCGCCCCCTCCCTTATCTGGCTCCCTGTCCCCCTTCCTTGCGTTCTCAGCGCAGGGAGGGAAAGTCACGGAGCTCATCAGGATCGAAGCTCTGACCCTGCCCGGCGGCAGCAGGGAAAGAGGGAGTCAGCCGCAGAGGTGAGGTCTCACCGTTCCTGTTTGCTCGGCAGCAGCACTACCCACGGCCCCTCCCAAGCTCTGAGGGGGCACAGAGCCTCCGCCACACATGGGCCCAGGGACCAGAAGCCAGGTGACTGAGGCGGAACCCCAGGCGGGACCCCTCGGACTTCCTGCCTAAATGTTCCGCGCTGCTTCTCCCCAGCTTGCAGGGCGCCACTTGTCTGATTCAAACTTAGTAGAAAAAGAAACGGATTCTCCCAAATACTCCATTTTTTTTTAAAGTATAGTTGACCCATATCAGTTACACTAGTTTTAGGTGTACGATATAGTGATTCACCATTTTTATACCTTGCACTCTGATCACCCCACTAACTCCAGTAATCAATCATCTGTCATCATGCAAACTTATCACAATATTGACTACATTCCTCTCCCCTTTTCACCCATTCCCCCATCCCTAAACAGAAACCTAACACTTTATTCTTGAAAAGGAGAAATTTCTTATTAAAATCCCTAGAATACCACCCATGCCCCTGCCACCGTGAGAGGGCACCCTATGCCACCCGGGCCACCCTCCCCCGCCCCGAGAAAGCCGAGTTGGGAGGTTACCTCGGTGCAGCACGATGTGGTCGATCATGTTGCGCTTGTATTTGGTGTGGTAGAGGCAGAGGGGACAGCGAAGGTCTTTGGGGCCCTCCTCCGGAACAGCCGAGTGCCCGGCTTCCACGTGCATAGTAAAAGCAGATCTGGGGGAGAGGCGGGAGACAGACAGGTGATCAGCGTGACAAGGGACCGGTTCACTCGCGTGCACACCCCCTGCTGGTGATCTGGCTACAGGCTTCCCGTGCGACGCCCTTGCTTGAGGGCCCAAACCACTGCCGTAGGTCATGGTCGCCCACCCAACAACGGACCACGGTCGAACAGTGGTCACCTTTCTGGGAATTTTGCCACTTGGCTGGCTTCAAATTTAGTATAAAAGGAAATGGATTCCCCTAAATACTTTTTTTTTTTAAGTATAGTTGATAGATATTAGTTATACTAGTTTTAGGTGTACCATATAGTGATTCAACATTTTTTATACCTTATGACCACCCCACTAATTCTAGTAATTATCTGTCACTATGCAAACTTACAGTATTGTTGACTAGATTCCCCTCCCCGTTTCACCCATCCCCCCACCCCTCTGGTTTCTGTTTCTATGAGTCTACCTAACACTTTATTCTGGAAAGTGAGAAATTAATGAAATCATTACAACAAAATCCCTACGAGAACGCATTTCTCATCATGCTTGGAAGGAGAGGGACTACTTTAAAGATGGGTGACTGACCACCTGCCTCATGACTCTTCACAGGTAAGGGGGCGGGCAAGTCGGTGAGGAAGCAAGACCTCACCAATCGGTAAACTTCACTCAGAGCCGGGGTTCAGCCTGAAGGTGGGAGAGTACTGCTGCCTCCCCTTCAGCCTTCTCAAAAGTTCATAATTTTTTAAAAATACATTTTTTAATTGATGTCAGAGAGGAAGGGAGAGGGAGATAGAAACATCAATGATAAGAGAGAATCATTGATCGCTGCCTCCTGCACGCCTCCTACTGGGGATCGAGCCGGCAACCCAGGCATGTGCCCTGACAGGGAATTGAACAGTGACCTCCTGGTTCATAGGTCAATGATCAACCACTGGGAGAAAGTTCACCATTTACAAAGCCTTAATAAGACATTTCATCTCATAAGGATGGATGAAACCAAGAGCTGAATGGGTGAGGTCCTCTTCTGATTAACCCGAGTGCTTCCCCCTGGGGAAAGGTGCACACCTGTGGGTGGGCCCGTGTCCCCTGGGCCCTGTGGCCTCCTCTCAGTTCTAAGGTCACACGCGTATTTCTCTGGAACACACCGAACCGAGTGAAGCGTCAGAGATACACTTTCCCATCGAGTGCCGGCAACCACGGGCTGCTGCAGGAGAGACCGGCTGATCCTGCAGGAAGCCCTCTCGCCAGCCTCTCCGTGTGGGGTCTGCAGTCAGGACTGCGGCGGCCTGAGGCTCAGGTCCCGACTGCACCAGGGGCAGATAGTAACAGCCTTACATCTGCAACACGATTACTTTCAACTTTTTAAATTCATGTTTACTTTGTGCCAGGCACTTCAGATGTATGGGTTCATTTACTCCTAAGAGCTCTGTGCGGTAGGTACTACTATTATCTTTATTTTACAGATAAGGAGCCAGAGACACAGAGAGGCTGAGTGACTTGTCCAAAGTCACACAGCCAATAAGGAGCAAAGCTGGGATTCAAACCCAGGCAGTCAAGGCTCCGCATTCTACACTCACCTAAACGGTATCTCCCAGGAGGAGATGACCTCACAGGAGTTTACTTTAAATGACAGGCAGCACCCCATTCTTTGAGCGCATGGGTGCTGCCCCTCACAGGAGCAAAGCTGGCTTTGGATGGTCTTTTTCTAGACTGGAACTCGCTGTCTACGGTTGCTCAAGTTCAGGCTTCACAGCGCCGGGGTCTTGATTCTCTGGGGTTTCTAAATAACGTGATCTTGAGAAATAAGACTTTTCTACCAGGGTAGCAGGGAAGTCACTATTGCCCAACGTTCTCCCCTTGGACTTGGACTGTCAAGAACATTTCCCCCCAAAGACAAATAAAAGGAAAGGGCGACAGTGACAGAGCGCCAAGGGGAAGCACTCACCGCTTCTTGCCCGGGGCTGGGGAAACCCTTTGCAGGATCTCACGCCTGGGGGCACCTACTTGCTTTGACTTTTTTCCCCCTAGATGTTTCCTGCCTGGTTTATCTCCTCAGTCATTGTCCACAGGACTCTGAGAAGTTGTAGGAATATGCAGGCGCAGGCCCAAGGCCTGGCTTTCTCTCCAACGCTGTGGAAAGGGACCGTACATCATGGGGCAGAGCCCTGTGCTCCCCTGCGCCACCTGGACAAAGCCCCGGGGAGAGCGACCTCCCGGGGGTGTCCATGTTGGGATGCTTTTGACTTTTAAACTCGTTGGTTCTGACACAGCTCTTCATCCCTCCCACACGCCCCGAAGCAGTCTCCTGGAACCAGCCTTTTGTGGTACAGACTGGGCCCAACCCCTGCATCACCCGCCCGGCTGGGCCTCCCTTGAGCTCCAGGTCGGAGGGTGTAAGGAGCGTGTGGTGAGGGGCGGAGCGGGTGCAGCGACCTCGTGCTGCGAGGCTGTCCTTCACGCCACTTACTTAAAGCCTGTGTAAAAAGAGCAGTCCTTGCACTTGAAGAGCTTCTTCCCGCCGTGCTTGTCCCTGTAGTGGCGCCTGATGCTCTGGATGTAGCCGGAGGAGAATTCACAGAATTCGCAGTGGAGCACCGCCTCGGCTTTCTGCTCCCCGGCAGCTCCGGAGAGCGGCCCGGGGCTGACGCGGCTGTTGTTCCTCGCCAGCGCGGCCGACTGGTAGTGGTTCAGCTGCTGCTGCACATCTGGAGGCTCCGAGTAGGACGAGTCTGTGGACAGATGGGGGACATGACGCGGACACAGAGAACACAGTGGGGTGACGCTCGGAAACCCCCAATGTTTGTTCCGCCGGCGCTTTTTAAGGGGCTGGGGAATGAGCCCCTCTTTCATCTTCATTTACACTTGACAGCACTTCTCTGGGGAAAGGCAGGGAGGGAGGACGTGTCACCCCCTTTCCTCTGACTTGGAGGGCCCATGCCATTTGGAAAGAAAACTCTGAGGTTCAAGGTTTCAAAGTGAAGGAAGAAAGGGAACTGTGTTCCGTAAAGGAAACGGCAGTGTGGCCACCGGCTGCTGCAAGACACCCGTCCTTGTGGGTGAGATCAATAAACCGCACAATGAGCCCAGGACCCTAGGGGAGAGAGGCAGGTAAGGAGGTGATGCCATATCCCCCCGTCTGCAGCCCAGAATGATTCAAACCTCCCCCTCCCCCCCAAAAAAGCCTTAAACAGAAGTGCTCTGGCTCACGGCACTCGCCAATATAAAAATGTTTTATGCCTTCACAGTCGAGCGATTTAAATTTTAGAATATCAAAATCCAACAGTGCTCCCCTGGAATGGATGGTTAGAGCTGAGTCAGCATGGAAATGGAGATTTACTCACAAATCCCATTAAAATGAAATGCAAACAAGTTTCCCTGAAAGGTGTTTTGAAGTTTGCCGTTCGGACGAGAATGCCGGAACGACGGGCACCAATCTCAACCCAGGAGCCTCCAAGGCCCGGGCGGAGAGATGCGGCCTCGATGGCTGGGAAAATTGGAGTTTCTTCTTTAAATTAAAAAAAAAATAGTAAGTAAATAATTTCTTTGAAAAAAAAAATAAAAGAAAGGCCTTGAACCTTTTCCCAACACGCAGCGTTGCCTGCTGAGGCCGGGAGTTCGACAACGGTCCCGGGTCACCTGCAGCGGCCGAGGGAGGTGCGACCACGCAGGTGAACTTCAGTGGAACTTTCCTCAAAAAACACACACACGGCTCTTCTCTGACAGCCTTTCAGGCAGCAGGGAGAGGGGACAAGGCTGCACCCGCCTCCTCCCCACTTGACGGACACTTCATGTTGCAGGGCACGACCCCCCGCAGACGAGGAGGGTTCGGCAAAACCCGTATGTGACGGAAGTACTCGGTCCATCCCGCTGGCCTCTTCGTTTCCACAAACAAAACCAGAGCAGCCTCTCTTACCGGGAAGGCATCTCCTGCCTTCAACATACGAAGCCACCCTCTTCCGTTCTCGCCCTCCTCCCCGCCCCCGATCTGTGTTCCTCACGACTGAGAAAAACCCCTTCGGAAATTGTACACGAACCTGCCAGACGCACAGAAATGAAACAAAGGGAAACGTGAACAATACCGGAGCCTCCCTGGGTTCCTCACCAGGTGTGAAGGGAAGACAAAGGGAGAGGGAAGGCAGGACACACTGAATTCATTCTGCCCCATTCTTTCATCTCCCTCTTCTCTAGTCCTCGACCCCGCTGATGAACCCACTCAGGATCACAACAATGCGATTGTCAACTTCTCATTCTTCCTTTCAATGGCAGGCTTGTTTACCATTTCAGGGATTGTTCGAGAGGTTTCCTATTTAAACCCTCAAGACCAGTTTCTGCTTAAAACGTACAATGAAGCACACAACGCACCCGCCTCTCTCGTTAACGCGGCGTGAGCTGCGGGCTCCGCACGGTCCCACCAGCACCCCAAGCCCGTCCCTCCCAGCAGTGCTTGTCCTGCTTCCCTCTTAGCTCCTCAGAAGGGAAGCTCTGTGACCCACTATCCATACACACGTCTCCTTAGACTTGGCCCGTTATTCCCTCTAGGGTCCATTGCATAGTCCATTGATCTCAAAGCAATGGATTCGACACCTGAACTCCAGTGTTTACATGTGATACGAAACCAGAAGGAACAGACATGCACGAAGTGGTGGGGAAAGCACCCCAAGAAAGGGAGGCTCCTCACCCTCCCCAAGTGGCAAGGCAACAGGTCGGACCAAGACAGACGTGTGTATCCATGTTATAAACTCCCCTTTTCCTGGGTAAGTCACATGCACAGGTTTATTTACAGCAACAAGCAACTCCCACCCCTTAATGATACAATTGAAACGCCCAGGTTATAGCTTTTGGGGTCTTTTTAGCGCTTTCCTTTTCTCTCTGGTGCCAAGACACACACACACACACACACACTGTCTCTCTCTCTCTCTCTGTACGCCCCTCTCTCTCTCTCTCTCTCTGTCCTCCCCCCCCCCGCCTTGGAATTTGTGAATAATGTACAACTTTGGCACTAACGTCATAAAGATGTGAGCGTGTTATGATTCCACTGATCTTAAAAAAGCCCACTTGCTAAGCTACAAAAAAAATCCTAATTTCTTCATCAAGCACAGGCTGAAGGGCAGGAACAGGGGTTTTGGGCCCAGCGAGCAGACAAGCAGATCGATAGGAGTGACGGGCATGCCACCGAAGTTAAAAATCATCATCATTAAAACTAACTTCTTTCGTTCTGCGCTTGAGAAAAGGAAAGGGAAGACAGTCTGAGCTTGGAGCCACTGTGGTCAGGAGGAAGCAGGAAGCGCAGGAGTGTGCACCCCCTGGGAGACTGTCCCCAACCGCAGGCCACACAAGTCCCACCTCTGTCACCTTTACGGCAGGTCCCACGCACAAAGGCACCAACAGCAAAGGTGACGCTGGTGCGGACACTCCCAGCCCCACCCCGACAGAGGCAGTCTCGGGAGAGATGTTCACTCTGACTTGTAACTTTATTTCAGTCGGAGGAATTAAATTATAATTAATTATTTAATTAAGCCATTATATGTAGCTAGCTATTTTGAAAATTGTCTATAATAGAAAAGAGTTCATTTTGAAAAATGAGGATCAAGCAAGAACTTTAGCACGGATGGTCCCCGTGCCTGTAGGCGTGGCTTCGGCATTTACTGCGCCGCCAGCAATGAAGTCGCACAGCTCCCGTGTGCAGCGTGCTTCTCATCCCAATTCCACCCCCGAGGCTGAGAGTGACTGGTCACACAGCTACTAAGAGGCAGAGGTAGAATTTGTTTTAAATATTTATTTTTTAAATGTTCTCTTTCTAGGAATACAATTTTGCAGTTTTTAAGAAGAACTCTTTTTTAAAAAAATATTTTTAAACTGATTTCAGAGAGAAAGAGAGAAACATCAATGATGAGAGAGAATCATTGATTGGCTGCCTCCTGCACACCCCCTCCTGGGGATCGAGCTCGCATCCCCGGCATGTGCCCTTGACCGGAATCGAACCCGGGACCCTTCAGTCCGCAGGCCAACGCTCTATCCACTGAGCCAAATCGGCTAAGGCCAGAGATCGAATTTGTACAAAGATCTGTCCGACTCTAAAGTCTGAATCATGTCTATTAGGCATCTGTACCCAATGGTGGGTCCCGTGATGCATCACGAGGAAGAATATCTGAGTGCCCCACCATCAATAAACACACAGGAGAGGGGGCAGAGAGGGAAGGTGCAGAAAGGCTGAAATAGGTGAGAAAATAACATTAGAATAGATAGAAATGATAACCAAATAGATAAAAATATAACATTAAACTGAATACGAAAGAAAACACTAAAACAAGCATTTTACAGCACATGGGGATAAACACAGCAAGATTTGTGGGAAAGAAAACATTCAAAATTTCAAAATGATTTATACATTTTGTAAAAAGGTGTGTGGGGTGGGGTGGGGGATCATACAGGAGATATTTCTACAAGCCTAAGGCACAGGTAAGCCCGGACAGTACCCAGAACTGGATGTCCACCTGCCCATTGGCATGTAGTAGTGAGATGCTGGATAAATTGCCCTAGAAAAATAATGCTCTAAAAATCGTCGGCTGGGATTTGGCTGAGAAAGCAAAGGTACAGGAATGCAGACGGGAGAGGGGTGCTTCAGGCTGGTCTTGGACAGCCCAGGACTTCCAACCAGGGGAGGGTTGAATCCGGATGAGGCCCCCCGCCCCTCTCACCGAGGCATCGTCCCGGAGAAATGGGAAATTTCTTGCTCTAATCCCAGCTCCCCAGAACACCAGCCCAAACCAATTTGAAGGTTTTATTTTTTATTTTTTTTCTCCAGAAATTAGCCAGCACAAAGACTGACTAATAAAGGGAATCTGACTTTATAAAGGCAAGTGACACACAGTGAACCCTAGAGGGATAGGAGCGTGGCAGAGGGAAGCTTTCTTCGATATTCTGATTCTGTGAACATCTCGTCAACACCCTTTGGCGCCAGGCCATGTGCTGGCTCTATGAGTTCAAAGTCAGAGAAGACGCGAGGGGTGCCTTCTAGGAACTCGGATCCACCAGGGAGAACGCAGAGCGGCCGGCTGCTATGAAAATACAGGCCTGCTCCACATCCAGCAAACCCACTCCACCGACTGAAGGAATAAGAGAGGCACAGAGAACAAATGAACCGAAGTAACAGGAGAGTCTAACTACGGCAAGACCGGCAAAACCGAGGAAGACACACGCAAGAGTCAGAATCAACTGAGCAGTAGGTTGTGGGAGCCACAGAGGACGGCGCCCTGTGCACCGAGTGGTCCAGAAAGGAAGCCACATAGGAGGCCCCGTTCTCCATCGTCTGCGGCTGCGTGTGAAGGTGGAGAGGTAGCAGAGGCGCCTGGGGGCTGGCAACCACATTTAGTTCTATTTGGGTTAGATTTCTGTGCAGACTTGGGAGACAGGCTCTCTGGTCAGCATGAATCAAGTACCAGGAGGAAAAAAAAAAAGACAAAAGGGATTTTAGGCAAGCCCATTTTAGAGGTGGCCAGGGGGCAAATGATTTAAATTACACCCATTCACTCAGCAAATTTTTACTGAGCATCAAAGTCAACTGTTCTGGGGCAGTCAGACCTGGCCCCTGACTTCAAGCAACTCCCTGTCTCAGAGAGATGTGTAAATAACTGGTTGTGATACAATGCAAAAAATAAAAAAAAAAAGTCTTGAGACGTCTGTAAAGAGCTGGTGGAGGAGTAGAAAAAGCGGCACCTGGGACATGACG